AGGTTAGGACACAGCCGCCTCAGTGCAAGTTCCATACCCCACCCAGAGCTGATCCACATGGCATGGCAGACCTCTCCTGACCCGCCCGCTGCTCCCCTCATCAGTATACTTCATTGATCTGCCTGTCCTAGTGAATCCTCTCATGGCCCCTGCACCTCTAGCTTGTACCCCAGTTCTGTATGCATAAATGATTTTTTTTAAAATACCTATGGTAAAAATATCTTATCCTAGTAACTCCATAGAGTACTTAGAATTACTACAATTTAGGAATTTAGTTCTCATATAATGTCAAGATGCTTAAATGACATTTTAATAGATGAAAAGATATTTTGGTTAAGGAAAGGACTTAATATAGTGCTGAACTGAATAAAGAACCAATTCCTAATAAGCCAACCCCCACCAGGAGATACAGTCAAGTTATTTAAAAAATGTCAGAGAAGTGTATTTGACAAGTAAAAATTATATATATATATATTCAAGGTGCACAATTTGATGATTTGGTATACTTATTGTAAAACATTATGAAGTGATTACCACAATCTAGCTAATTAGTGCATCTATCATCTTACATAGTTATGTTTTCTTACTTTTTTTTGATATGGTGTCAACATTTAAGATTTATCCTCCTAGCAAATATCAAGTATACAGTGTTGTTAAACATTAGCTCTTCCACAGGTTCAACTTGGTTAGACTCCACATATAGTTGAGATCATGCAATATCTGTCTTTTTGCATCTGGTTTACTTCACTTAACCTAATGTCCACCAGATTTATCTGTGTGCGTTTCATTTATATGCAGAATATAGAGAAATCAAAAAAGTGTCCGGAAAAAAGACAAAGTTTGCAAGTGGATAGATCTAACACACACAGCATGGGAGGAGGTGGAAGACGGTCAATTAGGGAGGGGAGAGTACTAGGTTCACAGGCGCTGTGGTGGTGGGAGAACTACGGGAACTCCACCTGACCAGAGAAACGAAATACTGTCCAAAAATTAATAGTGATGTAAGAAACTAAATATAATTTGTTTTAATTTATGATTGTAAGAAATTAAAGTTTGTAAGTACTTAAGTATGGGGGGCGGAGGGGGGAAGGAGGGAACAGATTCAACCAGGTTGTTGCAAGTTGCAGGTTTCATTCTATTTTCTGAAGCTCCAGAGGTGAGACTCCCTGGCTGTGTATTCAGTAGGGAAAGTTGGTGTGACCCCACTCCCACCCCAACCCTGCTACACCCTGACTATTCTAGTTGGGTCCAATTCTCCAAGGTACACCCATAGTACCTTTTCACAAGACACTGCAAAACTCTCAAGTATGAACATATATAAAAAGTATCTGCTCCTGCTCACCCATCTGGTCTCAAGTTCAGGCCAATTTTTAAAATGACTATATTCCCACTCTTATTCCCACTCTTAGCACAGTTCAGTGATCTATCCACGGATGGTTGAGAGCCCACCCAGAATTTCTAGGACAGACTTCTGAACAGTCAGGGCAGGAATAATTTACAACAAATCTTTTTAAATCTTTTTAAATTTTTTCTTCCTTTAATTAAGGAAGAAGAGAGGGAGATGGAGTCAGATGTCCTTGAACAGAAGAATGAAGGAGAAAAGCAGTAATCAAAGTGCAGGGGGAATGCAAGTGCATCCCTGGAGTTGGAGTCCGGGCTCAAGGTGATGACTTATCCCCTTTATCTGCGTTTCGTGTGGAAGGTTTGGTCACCAACAGGATCCTGGAGCCACACATTGACCTCAACCTGTTTGAAGGACAATTTCAGAAGCCACGCAAAAACTGCAGCCACCACCACCTTCCCCACCCCACCTAGCAGGAGATGAAATGCTCACCTCTAGTTGCTCTTGTAAGGAAGGACACCTCGTGGCAACCTCCAGATTACAGAAAAGCTCAGGGAGGAAAAGGGACAGCTCACCTTCCAGGTAAGCAAGACTTACTCTGTCTTTTCTTAGCGCTCACAATGAGAAATCTTCCAGTCATATCTTTCCTTGTTGTATGTTAAAGTGACTATGTTTGACCCCAGGCTTCAACTGGTGGGTGAGGGAGTTGGGCTCCAGAAGGGTATTTTGAGTCTTTCCTATTAACCACACAGTGAGGGAGGGTTGCATCTATGCATCCAAAAGGGTTTCAGAGGCAAGTCACATCTGACTTCACCGAGAAGGAGGGGCAGGTGGACTTCCAGTGGAGAGGCCTGGGCGCCAAGAGCAAATAGTGCATTGTGTTTGCTCTTCCCTTCACTCAACACTCTGAGGGGTTATTGTGTAACAGACTTGCTGAGGTGTCAGTAAATCTGTGGAGGAAAACTGGGTGTGGGCGGGTGGCCAGAGATGATTTGTTATTCATGATATTCTCTCTCTTGTAAAGAATGGAACTCTCTTGTTTGAAAGTTGATGATTATGAAAATGCAAATTAAAGCGTAAGAATGGGGAAGGGGTTGTCTAGAAGGAAAGTGGTGAGATCAGAGGGAGAGAGAAAACCCAACTGGTGGCCAAAGGGAGAGGGTGTCTGGTGGGAATAAAGGAGTAGCTGGTACCAAGGGAGCAGCTGATGTGAGGGAGCAGAGCTGTTTACAGTGTGTATGAAGTGTTGCACTGTGTGGTGCGATATGATTCTTTGTGGAACCTTCAGTAAAATCTCTATTCATCAGTGCTTCACAAGTGAGATTTATTTCAAGGAAGGAGCTCAAAATGCTGGGTCCAGAACTAGTCAAGGAACCCAGCTGTATTCAGGAGCTTGTTATAAACATGCAGCAAGGGGCCTCCCTAGTGGCACAGGGGTTAAAATCTCAGCACTATCAAGCTATTGCCAGCCACTGCAACTTGAGTTCAATCCCCAGTCAGGGAGCTGACCCACATGGAGCCTGAGCAGACCTCTCCTCTTACCCACTGCTCCCCTCCGCAGGTATTTCAGTAGACCTGCCTGTTCTGTTCCCCATTCTGTCTCTGGTGAATCCTCTCACCCCCTGCACCTCTGGCCTACACTCCAGTTTTTGTATGCATAAATTAAATAAATCCTTAAAAAAAAAAACAGCAAATAAACATACAGCAAGTGACACATTCTAAAGGATGTGGGAGTTGTATACCGCTTCATAACAGCTGAGAGAGAGGGGAGAGACTCAAGAAGGCCCTTCACAAGAGGTGGCCCCAGAGATGGACCTTAAAGGATGACCAGCGTTTCTACTGCAATGGAGAACAAGGAGGGACTTCAAGCATGAGAAACCAAGTGGGGAGGCAAGGAAGTCTGGGGCAAGGAATATTCAGGAAGTGATGATTTACTACATCCTGACCACCGTCTGCCTGGGGGAGGGGAGCAGGCTAGAAATAAAAGAATGACCAGAGGAACTATGGTTATGTGGCTATGTGTGCTCTGGAGAGTAGAACAAGAATGTCCTGAGGTATTTGCAAGAACACAGAGTATGACACTATATTCCCTGAAAGGAGGGAAAATAGTTCTAAAAACCCTCTGGATCCTCCCCTACCACTCTATTTCAAGTATCCACATCCTCCAAATACCAGGGGCCTGGATTGGAAACATTCCAAAAAGTGAATTACATTATTATTTACACATGCTTAATTTTGCAACCTCCCCCATCACACTAATCCTATCAGTTCTTTTTCCAGATGAGGTTAAGGCTGCTACCTGACCACGAGCACCGGCTTGAGCAGTGAGTAGATGGCCCTCCACTGGCCCCCCACCTGTGGAGCTCCCACACCCACCAGTTGGCTCTGGCATTGTGCCCAGGCTGTCTGTCCTGTGAGTCTCCCCACCTGCCTTCCTCTCTCAGTCATGACTCACCACCTTGCACCCAAGAGAGTCTGAGGACTCATGCAGGCACATCCAGGTAGATACCAGGAGTCCTGTGGCATTTTTCTTTTCTCAAAGTCCCCTTACTTTAAGTGGCAGAAACAATTCTATCAGTTAACAGATAGATACTGAGTACCTATCGCAGTTTATTGAGGCCACTTAGTTGTCTGCCAACTGCAGGCGGAAGGAGGGAGTCATACAAGAAAGAAAACTACATACTATTTGACTCAACATTGAACAATAAATACATATTCTTAATAACAAATATTAATGATTTAACCATAAGTTAAATAAATAAATAAAGTGATTGACATTGAGTCTAGAGTTTATCAGGAACCCAATAAATGACAGTATTTTCATTTTTAAATTAACTTGACAATCTCTCTCCAGGCCAGTCCTATCCATTCCCTGCCCCTTGTGCCTTTTATGGTCCCTCCTTCCCATCACACCATCCACTAAGCTAATTCTTGCTCTTTTTTCTGGGGGTTCCATTACTTAATAAAGACGCGACTATTCATAAAGTACAGAAGAGAGGGAAAGTACAGAAGAGAGAAGTTATAATTCTGGTATCAGAAACCAAACACTAGTTAAATGTTTCACAATCAGGAGGTATACTTCTCTTTAAAAAACATTCTGCAATGTTTTTTAAAAACAATATCCTTTGAGGTCTGTCTTAGAAAACAGGAATTTGCGACAACTTTGTTCCATTTGCACGTATCTTTGAAATAATAAGATAACCTAGAATTCAATACGAGAGAAGACCACCCCTCAAACCCTCCATTGCACATCCAAAAACCAAATGAAAAGATCTCTAAACATTATTCCAGGCTGCTCGGTTGTGCGAATTCACGGTAAAGTGCTTTTTGCCTTGGGACGTGGCAACAAACAAACGGCTCGGGTTTCTCGCTGGCTCCAAACACAGGATGCATTTCATCAACCTGTCTCTACTTCAAACTAAGTGTTTCAGAATCAGCACTCCCGGGATTGTGTTTGCTCCATCTCCACTTCTGACACCCGCCTATAGCTGTTTTACCCCTGGGGTCCCAGGGGCTGCCCCGGAGAGAGAACTACAGCTCCCAGGGTACACCAGGGCCGAGGGCACCCACTCGGATTGGCTAAGGGTCGGTGACGTTCACTGTTTTGGCCCGGACGGTCACATGTTTCCTTTGTTGTGAGCTGCTGCAAAGACCGGAGGCTGGGAAGACGCCGGCGCTGGAGAGTGCGCTGCACCGCTGGCCGCTGAGGGACAGAGCGGGCCGCAGCTGCTGGTCGCTTCCAGCCTTAGCCGAGAGGTACCCGTGGGTGACAGCTCCGAGACCAGCCGAAAGGCGAGGAGCCGGCCTGAGCCGAGGGCGGAGGGGCGGCGGAGTTCATGACCACCGGGGTGTCTGGGGGAGGGGAGCCAGCGGCAATCGGCCTCTCAGAACTAAACGGGGGTTCGGCGGAGTGGTTGCGATGAGGCTGCAGGGCCCTTGTCAGAGGCGAGGGACTTCCCGGCTTCCCTCAGGGGTCGCCAGCCCCAGCTGGGTAAAGACAGCCCTGAAGGGAGAGCACCCCCCCACCCCCCGCCGCCTGCTCTACCGCCCCGGAACCTTGGCGCTGCAGGCGCGCCCTGCCGGGGCCGTGTTGGGTGGGGGCTCGCTGCAAGGTGGGGGGTGGGGGAGCAGGTGCGAGCCACCCGCCGCCTCGGAATTGGGGGCCGCTGCGGGTGAGTGGCGATTCGGTCCCAACACGCTGGCGGTGGGCTTAGAGCGGGCGCTGCTTTTTCTTATTCGGAGAGACACAGTGCGAACGTCCCACACCAAGCCTTCCCGTCGGGTGGGGGCGAACGTTTGTCCAATCGAGAAGGACGGACGGGGTCAAGGTAGGGTCCCCGGGCCACGGGCCAGAGAAGCCCCATTAAAGCGATTGCGAAATGTACTCAGCACTGTCACCTGACCGTTACTCCGCCCCCACCCCCCGCGAGCCTTTGTTTACCACGGATGGCAGCGGGGCCCGCGCCGGGAACCCGGCCCGCGAGAGCCGGTCGGCGGGGAGGCGGGGCGGGCGGGGAGGGGGCGTTCCGCCGGCGGAGCCCAGGCCGAACCTCCCACTTCCTACCACTCGGGGACTCGATTTCTTAATTTAGGTCCTAACGGCCCCTCCCCCAAGTTCTGGACTCTCGGGGCGAAGACTGTTAACCGGCCGGCGATTGGGCGCCTGCGGCGGCTCGCGGGCGGGCCAGCGGGGCGAGTTGCGAGTGAATATTGGCGCTGTCTGGTCGTTAGGTGGACCTGTCCCTGCAGTTCCTCCCCGCCCCCTTGAAGGTGATCTGGAGGACGCGCGAGAGCGCCCTCTCCTCTGGCTGCGGCGGCCGGAGCGGAGCTGGCGGCGTGTTCCTGCACCGAAGGTCGCGGGCTGGAGGCCGCGCTGCCCCGCGGCCTCTCCGAGGGGCACGGCGGCTTCTGTCCGAATCTGGACCCGCTGAGGACGGCTGGCGTTGCCCGCCCTCCGAGAACTGGAAAATTAGCTCCTCCTTGATGGTGCCGGGATGTTGGGAAGAAAATCTTGCGAATTCGTTTCGCTGGCAGTGTAAACAAGGTTTAAATAGCTAAATATGAGACCATAACACCACATTTTACGGTGCCTTGAAGCAGAAGCCAGTCACACTTCATTGTAGCGAAATTTAAGATTAATCAGCGGCTTTCTTGAATATCTTTTTTGAAATCACAGTATTTGACACTACTGAGTACTCAAGCAGCTGAAATTGATTCGAAAATGGATTTGAAATCTGCCTCTTTTCAATGACGTTAAAGAATTAGAATTCGACGTTTTAAAGTAGATGACTTCCTAGAAGTTAAAGATTCCCTCTTTTTCCCGTTTGGGGAATTGTAGTTCAGTTCTCTATGTATGTATTCCCAGGGTAATTCAACATCTGTGAGTGGACTGCAAATGTGTTGTTTTTAAAGTTGTAAATTAAGAAGGTAGCAATGAAATTTACGGAAATCATTTCGCCTTAGAACATTGAAGATGCATTTTTTTTCTATTTTAACAGATTTTCTTTTCCTGTAAATCAGTAAGAATTCACCCAAGATTTAGTGCGTTTCTGTAAGAGGTAAATTGAGCCCCTTGGGTGAAGCAGAAATTGAATAAGAGCACTACTTTTTTGGTTATGCATTTATTCTTTACTATTGTTATTAATTTACTGTTTACATGTGTGTATAACTTAGGGATTAATTTTTACTCCTAATATATACTATACACAAGCTTCACTCAATCTCCACCAAATCTGTGCAATGCATTATCCCTTTTCTTCCCCTGTTCCCTCTATAACCCAATATATTCTTCACAGTCTAAGAGAGTTGTTTTTGCTGTACTTTGCCAGTGTTTTGATTTTTTTTTTATTATATTACACAGATCAGTGAAACTATTCCATATCTGTCTCTCACTTTCTGACTTATTTCATTTAGCATAATCACCTCAAGGTCCATTCATTCTGTCCCCAGAAGCACTATTTCATTTTTTAAAGTTAGCTGAATAGCACTTTCATACTGTTCAATAATACTTTTCCATTAGTACTGAATATATATTCCAAGTATGCATTATTTTAAAAATTCTAGTGGAGATGACTACACCCAGAAGGAACAATTTCTGTGGTTCTGAGCTGCCTCATCATTTGTGCATTGAGGGAATTTAATATATCTAAATAAGTACAAAATGCAAATCCTAACTTTAAAAAAATAAGTAAATAAAATCACTCCAAAGCTTGCTGATTCATGATAAACCCTGCAACTTAATCTCTAAACAAGCGGAAGAATTAATATTCTGAATTAAAGCTAATTATTAGCTTTAATTTAAACTTTCCTGGCTTTTGTCCAAGTTGTTAAAACCTTCATGCTTTTTCAAAAACCTTTGTCTTCTTTGCTTTTCTATTTCATTAAAATCTAAAGCTCAAATCTGTGAAAAAATACATACTATTTATTAAATAAATGGCTGCAGTTCCTTTTGTGTATATAAAAAATAAATATTATTTATTAAATACGTGACTGCAGTTCTTTTTATCTACAAGTTTGGGACATCTTTTTCAATAAATAGGGATGAACTCTACAGTAATAAATATAAATAAAATATCCTCCTAAGTATTCATATGAAAAATACATTTTGTATGCATGTTTATTTTTTTAAAGACTTTATTTATTTATGCATACAAGAACTGGGGTACAGGCTAGAGGTGTGGATGGTGAGGTTTCACCAGAGACAGTGGGGAGCAGAACAGGCAGATTGTCTGAACACTGCTGAGGAGAACAGTGGGCAAGTCAGGAAAGGTCTGCCTCTCCATGTGGGTCACCTCCCTGGCCAGGTGAAGTGTGTGCTACAGTGGCTGCGGAGAGCTTCATAAGTGCCATGCTTTAACCTGCTAGGCCAACAGGGAGGACCCTATATGTGGCTACTTGGTAACTGCTGATTATTTACTTAATTTATTTGTGTTATAATACTTTTATATTAGAAACAAATGAAGTACTATTGTTTTACATCCTTGTTAATATTTTGGCAGTATAGAATTTCTCCCCTTCATTGTGATCACTATAGCTCTCTCACAACCAAAGCATCCATAGTTCTCCACCATAGTCTATTGTGCTCTCTCTTACCTCTCTATCTCCCCTATTGAATGCCTGAAATCTATGGTCAGCTTTTAAGGGTTGTTTTTAAAGTTTGTCATTGCCTGACTGTTTTCTCTTATTTTGTAAGTGACACCATCTGGTATTTATCTTATTCACTGTGGCTTATTTCATGTAACATAATCCTCCATTTTAATTACAAAAAATGGCATAATTGCTGAGTAGTGTTCCATTTTATTTGTATGTACACATACACATCTTCTTGAGCTACTTATCTTGGAACATTTGGGTTATTTCCATATTTTAGCTATTATGGGTAGTTCTTCATTTAACATAGAAGTGCACATTTCCTTTCAAATTAGTGTCTTTGTATTCTTTGGGTAGATTCCTAGGAGTGGAATTGCAGTATTCTATGGCAGATCTATTTGTAGTCATTTGTAGAAACTCCACACTGCTTTCCATAGGAGCTGGACCAGTCTACACTCCCACCAACCATACAACAGGTCCTTTTTTCTCCACCTTCTTGCTAACATTTATTTCTGGTTTGTTTGGTTTTTAATATGGGCCATTCTTATTGGTGTGTAGTGATACCTCATTGTGGTTTTGATTTGCATTTCCTGAAGATAAGTTATGATTATTTTTCCATGTGCCAATTGACCATCTGTCTTCTTTGGAGAAGAGACCTATTCAGTTCTTCTTCCCAGTTTTTATTGGGTTTATTTCTGGTTGAGTTGTATGAGTTTTTGTAGATATTCTGTATTGGTCCCTTGTCAAATATGCACTATGCAAATATTTTCCCAGTTAGTAAGGTGTCTCTTCATTTTGGTTACTGTCTCTTTTGCTGTACAGGAGCTTCTCATTTTGATGTAGCCCCAGGTGTTTATATTCGACTTTATTTTCCTTGCTAGTCAGAATTAATCTATAAAAACACTTGTGAAGTTTATGTCATGGAGTAGTTTGACTATGTTTTTCTTACATGTAGTTTATGGTTTCAGGTCTTACATTCATGTCTTTTATCCATTTCAAATGGTTTTTTATGTATGGTGTCAGATAGTGGTCAAGTTTCATTCTTTTGCATGTGGCACTTCAGTTTTCCCAACAACATTTATTAAAGACGCTTTCCTTGTTCCTATGTATGTTCTTCACTCCTTAGTTATAAATTGGTTATCCATACACGTGTGGCTTTATTTCTGGGCTCTCATCTATTCCATTGACCTGTATGTCTGTTTTCATTTCAGTACCATGCTATTTTGATTTTTATAGCTTTGTAATATAGTTTGAAGCCTGAATAAATACTACTATTTCCCACCCCCCTCTTTTTTTTTTGTTTCTCAGGCATTTAAAAAAAATTTTTTTTACATCATTTATTTTTCCCCTTTTTAATGGGTAGAGCATTGACTAATCAGGGTCTTCTGTGTTTCCATATAAATTTCAATAATATTTGTTCCAATTCTTTGAAGAATATCATCAAGATTTTTATTGGGATTGTATTAAATCTGTAAATTTCTTTGGGTAGGGTGACCATTTTGGCAGTGGACAACTGTTGGCATTTTTAAATCCTTATTCTATCTCTTAAAAATAGCTAATTTAACTTTTTAAATAAAGTTTATAACTGCCTAAATTCATCACCCAAACACTAAATTTTTTTGGCATTTGGCATATTTTAAAGGCTACTCAGTTGATGTTTAAAAGTGATTAGCCTTTACCTTTTATTGAATGTTTTCTAAGTTAATTCTGAAAATAAGTTGATACCACTACCAGATAAAAATTACTTACTCAGAAGTGCTTTTATAGCTAGAGAAATCATCTAAAATACTGGAGGAGTAGCAGAGTACCAGATAGTGTCCTTGCAGATATAATTAATTCTAATAAGAGAGCCACAAACAATTTGCTAATGGAACAACTATATTATACACCTATAGATTTTGCAATTTAAAAATAAAAGTGTATTCAGTATTTAAATGAAACATGTTGCCAGGAGAAAACCAAATGGCTACTAACTTTGCATGTCAACTGTAGTGAACTGCATAAAGTAGGATCAATAGGGCAACGTGATGCTAGGTGTGATGTTGATGACTAACAATTCTATTTTCTTCCTTTGGTGTTGGAAACTAATAGTAAACAAAAATGTCAAAGCAGTGGAAACAATGAGTGCATAAATGAGATTTTTCTTTTTGTTCTTGGGAGATCACAAACTAGTTGTTGATCACATTGGAAGATCACAAAGTAGTTGTTGACCACATTGTTTTAGTACTCCTAAACTTTTCATCATCAGGTATCTCTTATTTTTCTTTTATTTTTCAAAGTCATCATGTACTGACCATATGTGGCCCTAGTGAGCATAGGATTTTGTCACTAGTTGCTATAATTCTAGACATTTAAGAAATTAAGAAATTTTAAGATTTTAGCTGACTTCTCATATATTATGGTGGATAAATCTTTTCTTGGAGATTCCATTAAGAAATTAGAAGTAATTGAAAATAGAACTTGAAGATTAGACTTTGAATATTACATTTGTAAAACTACCATCAGAAAACACTACTTCAACAGTAAAACTTTAAACTGAAAATTTTTAAGTGTAAGTTTATAACTTTTGAAAATTATAAGTAGATTAGTTCGATTAAATAAATAGCTTGTGACAATATCTGACATTTATAAAAACTTCGATTTTGTGTGAATTTTCTAGGTTTGTTTTTTTTTTTAAGATTTATTTATTTATGCATACAGAGCTGGGTACAGGCCAGAGGTGAAGGGGTGATGAGAAGATTGACCATAGTCAGAGTGGGGAGTAGAACAGGCAGATTGATGAAGTACACTGCTGAGGGGAGCAACGGGCCAGACAGGAGAGGTCTGCAGCGTTGTGTGGATGACAGGAGAGGTCTGCAGCGTTGTGTGGATCACCTCCTGGCAGCGAAGCTGCTGTGGCCATCTTCGCAGTGCTGTGCTTTAACCCACTTGTGCCATCAGGGAGGGCCCTTTAGTTGTTTTGAAGACTACGACATTGTACTTTTCTGGCATTTCTTCTGTTCATTACTTTATATCTTAAAGATAAACTTTTATCTGTTAGTTGTAGTGTCTCTGTTACATTATTTTTTGCTCAGATTTGAAAATGGAGTAGTATAGAACATAGCATGTGGCAATTCTCTATTTCAAGCTATAGACATGTTAGTCAAAATTATGTTGGTTTCCTTTGTTTTGGGGTTTTTTTTGTTTATTTTATTCCTAGTGAGACCCTTATAATATTGGCTCATACTGATAGTAACTTCTTGGGGACATAATTCCTGCATTCTAAGGAAAAATAAGGTTGATTTTATATATAGTTCTGCTGTCACATAAATCCTTCAGGTTTTGTATACTGACCTCCTCTGTCCCTTTTAATCAAAACTCTGAAGAAAATGCGCAGATGAATTGCCTTGCCATTCTAATTCTTAGGATATAATTCTAGGCCAGATTAGTTATGAGTTTGCCATAATCTGTATTCTGCTAGAAACACTAAGAATCTGAATCTTTTTTAGTATCAGTCTTGAAGTTTTTGTTTAGTTTTATTCTAACCCAACTTCACAAAATCTAAGTTTGGATTTGAATCCATTACTTGCCACTCCAATGACATACAGTAAGCTCTTTATAAATACTTCTTGAGTTGACCTCTATGTTGGATAAGGATCTTAGTGCCGATTGGGAAAAAACTTCCTTACCTAGCACTGAGAGTCCCTGAATATTCTTTACCCAAGGATACATGTGAGTTACACTCATGCCTGAAAGTAAGGAATATGCAAGATAACATTCACCTCACAACCAGCACAACCTGGGTGTAGAGATGTGTATTTGTGTATTTAAAAAAAAAAAAAATCACTCCATATCATGGCTGTTAGGATAAACTTCTGAATTTGCCTAAACTTAAGAATTTATGAATCCTGTTTGTAGATATGTAGACCAGAAAACAGAACTATTTGTGTGTTTAATTATTGTTGCCATTCTGTGTACTCTTCAAATTTCTAGTAGTTTTTCTTAAGAATTCCTCTCCTAAAAAAAAAATTCCTCTCCTCCCCTTCCACTGAAGAAAAAAGAGAATTGTGCTGAATTCATTGGTTGGTTTCTATAGGTGTTAAGTCTATAAGGTTCAACAAATCAGAAGAAATATGCATTTATATTTTAAAAGTTAAAAAGATATTTCATAAGCTTGGAGATTTTATATGGATCACCTAGATGACTTATTAAAAATGAATCTTTTCCTGAATTACCCAGAATGCTTGAGATTTTCTCAAATTTCTCAAATTGTAATAGTTAAACTTTGCATGTGATAATATTGATATACTAACTCTTAGAATTATATAATGCCCCAAACTCAGATGAAACATCAGTTACCAAATACTCTTCAAATATCTAGTACAGGATAATAACAGGATATGTACCTTCTCATCTCAGTGCCATCATTATGTTGATGTGAATATTTGTTTACTCATCTTTTCACTCAAGAAACCTGGTGCAGGATACAGTTACCAAGTAAAGAAGTGAATAAAAAGGGAAAATCACTTATATATAAAATAATGAAGATGTTAATATGCTTTAAGTTATTACTTGGTAATGATTTTCTATCTAAAGCTGAACTTTCAGTCAAACTGAAATCTAAAAATTTATTTAAGTATATTAGTAAATACCAACTGTACAAGAAGTGAGTAGTATCTGACTTATGTCTTGCTATTCTCCATTTATTTTAGGTGTGGAAATTAAAACAACACAAATACTTTCACTGGGACTTTGATCAAGCAAATGCTAACAAGGTATTTATTATAATAATCATAAACTCTTAAACATTGTTAGTAAAATTCCTAAATCATTTTCTTTTCTTGAACTAGGAGACTCTTAAGCCAAACTGAGTAACATGGAATAATTCTGTTTTCAAGATCATAAAGGAAGACACAATCATTTCTGTTTTCAGATGAAATATTTACCCACTTCTTTCTAATCTTTACTGATCCCCTGCATGCCTTTTTACATTTTTCTACTGTCTAATAGACACTAAAATAAGTTATCTACATTCGTTTTTATGAGACACAGGTCAAAAACGTAACAAAATCTACTGAGTAATCAGATGCTAGGTCTGTAACGTTTATAAGTTCTGCAAGTTGGAAATAAACCTTAAAGTAACTTAACCAGAAGAATCTGTCTTTTAAGAAAAGTCTTCTTTTAAGTGTAGTTCCGGGAATAAAACTGGAGAAATGAGGGAGAGAAAGGAGACACTAGTTTTTCTAAACAAATCTAAACATTTTAACCCTTATAAATGAAAACACTTGGACTTTAAATGGTGTAAATGGAAAAGTAAAGTCTAATAAATTGCATCTAGAAACCCAAAAACTACATGTTGTAATACATCTCTTTCTTAAGACCTTGTTATGTTAAATCACTTACCCTATCACTGATATTTGGTGATGTATAGAGACTGGTTAATGGAGCAGTCTTAGAAAGTGAACATGTCCTAATAGCCAGCCCAACGCTTGGAAAGAAACAAGCCAAAGATATGAGATTTTGCCACTGTTGATTACTTTATAATATCAAGTAATTTTATAGTTGTTCTAATCCAGGATTTTTAGTTTTACATGGGGTAAAAGCAATTTCAGTCAACAATCAAGGAATCAGCTTAAAAAATAAGGGGCAAAAGTTAGCATAAAAAGACACACCCTTCCCACCTGTAGTTTGTTTTTTTTTTTTTTTTTTTAAGATTTATTTATTTGTGCATACAGAACTGGGGTACAGGCCAGAGGCTCAGGGGCGGCAAGAGGCTTCCCCAGAGACAGAGTAGGGAGCAGAACAGGCAGATCAACGAAGTACACTGCTGAGGGGAGCAGCGGGCGGGTCAGGAGAGGTCTGCCACGCCATGTGGTCACCTCCAGGGCAGGCGGGAATCGAACTCATGCGTAAGTGGCTTTAGCTTTTCAGTGCTGTGCTTTAACCCAGGGAGGGCCCCCACCTGTAGTTTTAATCCACCTTATGATCATGCTTAATTCAGTCAATATAGTGATTATTTCCAAATTTATCTTACAGATATCAGATACAGAAACTAATAATGAAGCATATCAAACTCAGATGTAATTTTATTCATTTCAGAATTAAAATGATCTGTTACTTAAAACCTCCAAAGTATAATTAGACTTCAGTTCAAAATCTAACTTGCTTGAAGTTAAACATGTGTAGACAAATGACATCCACAAATGTAAGAGAAGTTAATCTTACTGATTGTGATACTTTGCTGAGATTTGCCCTAAAAAACCCCAGCTTTTGTAAGCATCCTTCTGGGTCTATTATTACTTTATATATTCATTTAAGTCATCCTTCCACTAATGCTTCCACTGCCATGTTTCATCACATTAGACACCTTTGTTAATGCATTTAGAAAATAAATTGCCTGTTTATTTGTATACTTGGGATTTGTTATTGTTGTTTTTCATTTAGAAATAAGGGAAAAGTTTATCCCTGTCATTCTTTGGTTCCTTTGTTAATAGTTCTTATCTATTTAGACACATCTCTTAGTCCTATATACATATAAAGTTCTAAAGCTATATATAATTCAATTTTTTCATTAATTGCCCTATCAACCTCATGAGTTTATTAGAAGGATTACGTTAAATAATCCATATGAGCAGTTTGGAAAGTTGGTACATGGCAACTAGTCAAAAAAAAAAAAAAATAGTGTTGCTATTCTGTTTGTTGTTTGATATAAGAAAAACTAGCCTCTGCGGTTTCATCAAACTAGTTGATACACAATTAGTACACAGATTTGACTCTGTAGTTCCTAAAACCTTACCTGGTAGATTTTTAAGACCTTTTACAGTTCTGTCAGGATTTTGTCCACAGCAGACATTTCCTTATTAGTGTAGTGTCTCTGAATCCCCACCTAGTGATCCCAGATGAAAGCAAAATTTGTTTTACTTACTCTTTATTCTGTTGGATTGATAAAACTGCCTGAATTTTTTGTGACCATACCTGTAAACTGGATGAAAGAGAGGAATGGAAGAGAAAAGATCTATATGAAATGCAAGTTTTTAGATGCACTTCAGATTGTTATAACCTGGTACTTTTCCCTGGGCAATTCAAATAATCTGCACACATCTGTCTAGGGAAAATTCTGTCACCTAGAATTGAGGAAAGTAAAGTGGTGATTTATGTGAAGAAGTAAAAGAACAGAAAATTAAATCTATACAAGTGTATCATCATATTGCCTATTCTATATTATGGTATTTATCTTTTTATGAATATGTTTTGTCTCAACTATATTTTATAAAAATCTGAACAGCAGACTTTCCATCTCTATAAAATGTAGGGCTAGCATAGTATCCAAATAGTAGATACACAATAAATATTTACTTATTTATTTATTACATCACTCTTCATTTTGGGCATTTTTCCCATCTCAGTTGTAATTCCTGTGGACTTCCACCATCAGTTCTCCTGTGCAATATCACCATAGTCCCATGCACTCTTCACACCCCAGTTTTCCCAATCCCTTTCCACCCCCCAAAAATGTCTCTGGCTTATAGTTGTTTTTGTTTTTACTTTATTACAATTGCTTTTTCTTTCTGGCTTATTTCACTGCATGAATCCTTCCAATTCCATCCATGTTGCTGCAAAAGGCATGAGTTTATCTTTATTGATTGCTGAGTAATATTCCATTGTACAGTAAATATGTTTTAATGATGATAGTAATATGTTACAAAATTAAGTGAACTCATTAAGGGGAGTGATAAAAATTGGTAGCACCTAGAGAATATGCTAGAATCACTGACTTGTTAGGACTATTGAGGAAAGAGGGCAAAGATAAGAAAATGATATGAAAAAAGAATACATATCTATAAATAAAAATTTGCTTCTTGATTTTGATGTTTCATGATTGCTTACACATTATGTCTTAAAGACTTAAAATGGGATACAATTAATATGTGATAGGGAATACAAAATATAATCTTAAACTGAAATTAATTTTCAAGTCTAGGCTGTCTGTATTTGGGGCTTGAATGTAAGAAAACATTCTACATCCTGTATAGATTATCTGTAATATTCTTCAGCTTTTTCTTTTTGTTGATACAGTTAGGCCTGAATGTCCGACTATTGTAATATTTCAGGAAGAAGTTGAGACATTTAGAAGAGTTGTACATGAGATCATGAGGGCATGAGAATAGATGAGTTACTCTGAGTACTTTTAAGCCAATTACAAATAAATTTTTGTTCACTTATCAATTTTTGGAGTTATAAAAATGACTAGGGGCCCTCCCTGGTGGCGCAGCGGGTTAAAGCACAGCACTGAGAATCTAAAGCCGCTTCTGCATGAGTTCGATTCCCGCCTGCCCCGGAGGTGACCACATGGTGTGGCAGACCTCTCCTGACCCGCCCGCTGCTCCCCTCAGCAGTATACTTCGTTGATCTGCCTGTTCTGTTCCTCACTCTGTCTCTGGTGAAGCCTCTCACCACCCTTGAGCCTCTGGCCTGTACCCCAGTTCTGTATGCATAAATAAATAAATCTTAAAAAAAAAAAAATGACTAGGATCCAAAAAGCCTCTTAAAGTCAGAATTTAAGAGAACTGTAGCCAAGTACCTCAATGTATTACCTATTAATAGTAATTTCTGAGAGTGGTTTAGAGATGTTCTTTTTTTTTACAAAAGTAGAGATGTTCTTTTTTAATTAATTTTTTTCTTAGATTGTTGTAGTCCCAATAGTCCTCCCATCACCATATCATCCATATTCCCTTGTGTTCATCCCTCCCTTGTTTTGACCCCTCCTGTCTTCTCCTTTTCTCTATGCCTCTGTTCTGTGTGTCAGTTTGCTAATTGACTTTTTCTTGATCTTTTATTTGGTTTTTCTATATTCCACATATAAGTGAGACTTTCTAGTATTTATCTTTCTCCTTTTAATTTTGGCTAGCATAATCCCATCCAGCTCCATCCATGTTCCTGCAAATGCCATAAATTTGTCTGTTTTGATTGCTAAGTAATATTCCATTGTATAAGTCTACCACAACTTGGTGATCCATTTGTCTATTTGTGAAGCATTTGGGTTTTTTCCATATCTTAGGTATTGTAAATAGTGCTTCCATTAAGATAAGAGTGCAGGTTTCCTTTCACTTTGTGTTTTTGTGCCCTTAGGGTAGATTCCTGGAAGTGGAATTACTGGATCATGTAGTAGATCCATTGCTAGTTTCTCAGGAATCTCCACACAACTTTCTATAATGGCTGGACCAGTTTACATTCCCACCAACAGTGTAAGAGGATTCCTTGATGGAGCTATTTCTTTTCAATGACTCTATAAACTGTTCCACTATTTAAGATGTGCTGTGGTTTCACTAATCTCCTATTATAGGGTTTTTAGGTTGTCTTAAGTATTATCTATTAATGATACAGCAGTGAACATATCTATAAATAAATCTTTCCACATATTCTGGATAATTTCCTGAGGACAGTTACTAGAAAATGATGTACTGGTAAAATAATACACATATTAAAAGACTATTGATAGATATAAATTAATTCCTCTCTATAATAAGATGTAGAGACTATATTAAGATTTTATATAATACTATATCAAGATAATAACTATATTAGGATTCTGAATGAATCAAATGTCTTGCTTTACAGCATTCTGACTTCACTTCTCTGTCATTAGATGAAACCTCGCTGTGTAAAAGGGGAGGTAGGGTTATTAGTAATTCACAGTAAATTACTGGGCAAAAGGCAACTTAAGAGGTACTATTGCAAATTACCCCAAATTTCTAACTGTGCAAATGCAAAATTTTCATTTGTAAGTTGTTATGAAAATGAGATCAAGTATATGTTATGAAGTATATGTTATTTCATTGTATAATTTACATCAAAATGAAGTGTACTGTAAATACTGAATATTTTCACATTCAGCTGTTTTGTGGTTCTTTGTTTGTTTGTTTGTTTTGCTTTAGCCACATAAAGAAGATTCCTAGCAATCATTTCTCAATAATTATATAGTCAACTGATGTAACAATGGTACTAATATTGGGCCGAAGACTAAACAGAGAGGATCTTGGGGTGCGTGATTCTCCAGCAACTAAGCGAAAAGTTTTTGAAATGGACCCTAAATCTCTGGCAGCTCATGAGTTTTTTGAATTCTCTTCAGAATCATCCCATGCTGAAAACATACTCCAGATATTTAATGAATTCCGAGATAGCCGCTTATTCACAGATGTTATCATTTGTGTGGAAGGAAAAGAATTTCCTTGCCATAGAGCTGTTCTCTCAGCCTGCAGTAGCTACTTCAGAGCAATGTTTTGTAATGACCACAGAGAAAGCCGAGAAATGTTAGTGGAGATCAATGGTATTTTAGCTGAAGCTATGGAATGTTTCTTGCAGTATGTTTATACAGGAAAGGTGAAGATCACCACAGAGAATGTGCAGTATCTTTTTGAGACATCAAGCCTCTTTCAGATCAGTGTTCTCCGTGATGTGTGTGCCAAGTTTTTGGAGGAGCAACTTGATCCTTGTAATTGCTTAGGAATCCAGCGCTTTGCTGACACCCATTCACTCAAGACACTGTTCACAAAATGCAAGAATTTTGCATTACAGACTTTTGAGGATGTGTCCCAGCATGAAGAATTTCTTGAGCTTGACAAAGATGAACTTATTGATTATATTTGTAGCGATGAACTTGTTATTGGCAAAGAAGAAATGGTTTTTGAAGCCGTCATGCGTTGGGTATATCATGCTGTCGATCTGAGAAGACCACTATTGCATGAGCTCCTGACACATGTGAGACTCCCTCTGTTACATCCCAACTACTTCGTTCAAACAGTTGAGGTGGACCAATTGATCCAGAATTCTCCTGAATGTTACCAGTTATTGCATGAAGCAAGACGGTACCACATACTTGGAAATGAAATGATGTCCCCACGCACTAGACCACGAAGGTGAGATGACAGTAAATTAACTACAATAAAATGAATAAAAGCTTTTTTAAAAAAAAAAAAAGACCACTAAACCTCCTGTATGTAATCTCATTGCAGTCATTTATATATATTGCATACATGTGTTTTTATAAAACTTAATATGTGTTATGAATTATGCAGTTCATTAGGATATCTTGCCCAGTGAAGGCTAGATTCAACAATAGCATTTTTTAATAATTGTTTTGACATGTCAGAGGATGTTGGCAAAGGATCTTGTCAACTGTGCATGTCAATGTATTTCTACCTATTTCTGTTAATGATGTTCTTCTCAAAGAAGCTTTGCATATAAAGTAGCAAAAGACCTTGGTAGAACTCTTTGGACTGCTGGTACTTAAAGACTTATACAAAAACAACTTGCACATAACAGATTAACCTTTTTCCTAACAGACAACTTGAATTACAGGAATACAGTAATAAGTAATCTGGTAAACACTGAGTAGATTCTCAGATGTAAAATCCAGGCGTCAGATCTTTTCTCATTACCACAGTAACTACTTTTTTTTTTTTTAAGATTTATTTATTTATGCATACAGACCTGGGGTACAGGCCAGAGGCGCAGGGGCAGTGAGATGATTCACCAGAGACTGGGGAGCAGAACAGGCAGATCAACGAAGTACAGTGCTGAGGGGAGCAGCGGGTAGGCAGGAGAGGTCTGCTGCGCCATGTGGATCACCTCCAGATGGGCATTAAACTCATGCCAGAGTGGCTTTAGCCTCTCAGTGCTGTGCCACCAACGAGGGCCTCAGTAACTACTTTTAATGTCAGTCAAAATTTTTTTTTCTAATTATAAAAATTATGTCCTTATAATAGAGAATTTAGAAAATATGCTTTGGAGTAGGAATGCAAATAAATATTGTACTGTCTTTCTCTAACTTCTTAAAATGAGTTACTTCTATAATATATCTATATATTTTAATTTATGATTTATAGAAAAATTGTCTATATGCCTTAAGACTAAAAGGAGTAATATTAAATGTAATTTACCATGAATCATTAAGAAATGGATATTGTAAGAAATATTAAAGAATCATCTTAACAGATAGAATTTTTCCTAACAAAGTTTATATCCTTATGGTGGAAAAAACATATAAAATTTACTGTCTTAACCACTTTTTCGGTTCAGTGGTGTTACATTCAATTGTTGTGAAACTACTTTGTTACATTCATTTGTTGTGAAACTATCTCTACTTTTTCTATAATTTGCTATAGCATAGTTTTCAAACCACATATTTTAGTTTTGACTTTAACTTTTGTTTTGAGATGTGATTCAAATTCAGCATAGTATGAGATAACATGTCTTTTAAATCAACACTAGTTTGAATTAGTAAGATTTAATCCTCTCATCTGAATGAAGTGATGAAATTGAAATGAAAATGATAAATAGTACTTAATTTCACAGGTTTTATCATTGAACATATTAAGCGTAACAGTTCCTAAGTACTCATCATGGAAAAGGATACATAAAAAGTGGTTAAAAATAATTAGCTATTTAGATAATATAGTATAGCCATACACACACACACACACACACACACATATGGTATAGTTAGTATTTATAAAGTCTAACGCACTTATTTAAGAGAACGCACTTATTTAAGAGAACTCGCAGTACCGGATACTCCACAAACTTTTTATAAGTAGATACAACAATGAGTAACTATTATTACAAAATACTAATGTGATATTTCTGTGTATTGAGATTGGGGTGTTTTTTTTTCTTTAAAGTCAGCTGACTTTAGTTAAATTTGTTTATAAGAAAGAAATATAAAATATTTTATTCTTATACAATAACCAAGGACAAAGAAAAACACTTGCCCTATAATATTCTAATGGCTTCTTGTTAAAGCTCTCTTTTTAAAAATTTACTATTAATAGACTTGGACTAAGGATAAGAATGTGGAAAGAACATGTTTTTGAAGGTTTTAATTAGGAAAGCTAAGCAACTTTGAGGCTATTGGAGAACTTTTCTGTATACAAGGTACCCTTTCAAGGGGAAAAATCATACATTATTCCTTATAACAAATAGAATAACTTGAAGTCAAATAGGGCTATTAATAACTAGTCCATATAGCTCATAGAATTAGTATCAGGACCAATCAGGAATTTGAATTGTAAAATAAAAGTAAGTCCTTTATTATTAAATTATTTATATATATCTGAATGAAATCAGATTGCAGCTAAGTTAGGCTAGATGATAATTTTCCTGATTCATTTACTTATTTAATTTACAGGAATTTATTTTACATTTAATTTTTAAAGGATCTCATCCATTTCATACACTGAAACATCTATGTATAGGACTGCAATATCACCTTTCTGTAGGAAACAAATGAAGGGAAAAACTGTTGTTATACTGAAATTTTAAATTTCTGATATTTCAATAGCAGATATTTATATAGGAGTGTATGAAGAAACCTTTTCTATATCTACAGCTCTGCCATTATCTTTACAGTATGTCTTTCACTTACCTATTACTGCATGTTAGTACCAGTCCTAGGTATTTCATTATCTGAACTCTGTCTGTTATTTGTACAGGTTCTCATCTTTCTGAAAAACTCCAAACTTCTTTGAAAAAGGAGTGATGTCTCCACGCTTCAACTGCAGTTCACTCCTCTGACTTCTGCTCCAGTCACTCTACTGCAGTCACTCTACTGAAACTCCTCTCCATCAGGTCATCACTGACCTGTTTGCAACTTGTTAGCCTCTTCTCAGTCTTTATCCAGCTTGATCTCTCTTGAGTATTTGATATTGCTGATTGCTTTAAGCCCTCTTGAAATTCTGCTCTCTGTTAGCTTCTATTTCTTCATGGTCCTCTTCTCCATTTGTTCTTTATCAAATTGATGTTTCTGTAGCTAGTCTTTTGAAGTGTTGATGATCACCTTGGTTCACATCTCTTTGCCTTGCCTTATATTCTTTCCTAGATGATCTCATCTATATTATCATGGTCTTAATTGCCATGCATACTTTTGACTATCAAACCTCTATCTCTAACACATACTGTTCTCATTTGCTCATTCAACCACTGCTTGTGTTCTTTTTTAAATTTTGTGTGTGTGTATATATATATAAAATCATTACATATATATATACACACTTGTATGTACACATATTTTTTTAACTTAAGGGTACACATTCTAAAAAATAATATAGTTGAAGTGGTATCAGACTTCAACATATTTCTTTCTTATTTAATTCTTTCATATTATCTCATTTCTAATCCATATTTTGATTTCCCCAATCTTTTCTAAACTGTTCTTTTATGAACCTCGATCCAATCTCATTGATTGATGTGGTTATTTCCATGAATTCTCTTTTATTCTAAAACAGTTTCTTTTTATTCTGACTCACTGATGAACAAGTTGTTCAGAAAAATATTCCACTTTCTATATTAGTCTGATTGCTTCTTTAAAGTGTATTCCTTATCAGCTATATTTAGATATGTTTCTTGGAAATCAGAAGATGGTCCCCCAAACTTCAGATTAATGGAAACAAGTTAAATGGTTTGGGCTAGAATTTGTCTTAGGCAGTGCTTTAGATTAGGAGAGCCTGCATAGCTGGTGATCCCAGTTAGTGATAGAAAGATTAACTCTGGATTAGAATGTTGACAGCGCTTTTCTATCATCGTGCAGTTAGGTTACATGCTTAGCATTAACTAGTTTTTCTTTAGTCCTTATCCTGGCCAATTATCTACCAGAGCTCAACCCATACATTATAGTCTGATTATATAAACCCACATATTTCTTAAATAACAGAGAAAATCTCAAAATGCATTTATATTAATTAAAAACAAGGTATGATAGTAGTTTCCTGGAAAGAGGATATATATAGACCAAATTAAAAGCACCTGCACCACCAGTTATAAACTGGATCGATCCTTTCTTTTGCTATATAGCCCTGTTTTTTTTAATATTCATTTATTTATGCATATAAGAACTGGGTACAGGCCAGAGGTGTGAGCATGGTGGAAAGGATTCACCAGAGACAGAGTAGGAAACAGAACAGGTGGATTAAGTAAAATATACTGCTGAGAGGAGCACTGGGTGAGACAAAAGAAGTCTGCCATGCCATGTGGGTCACCTCCCTGGCCAGGGATTGAATAGTGCTGCAGTGGCTGCAGATAGCTTCATAGTGCTGTGATTTAACCCCTTGTGCCAACAGGGAGGCTCCCATAGCTCTATCTTTAGATCTTACAGATAGAAAGCCATTGGTCTCTTTAGGGCTTAAAATCTCATATCTCTGTTTTAATTTATTATTTTCATTTGATTACTTGGCTTTCAGATATAATAACATCTTGGAATGGTGAGTAGAATAGGCCATATCAATAACATCTCTCACCTTTCCCTTCCAACTTCTCACTTATGGAAACACACTGCTTTTTCTATAATTTTTACTATATTTGGTTATTCTTCTCATTAGTCAGGTTCACTTGGTGCAAATCCCTTTTTGTTGATGAAAGTTAGTTTGGCAGTTCAACTGACTCTGGCATACTTGGAATTCATAATAAGTAAGTCTGTTATTCAGCCAACAAATCTTGTTTTTCACTTTGAGATCCTTAACTGAACCTGGTCATTTTTATACATTGTATTGACTTGTTTCAGAGTATCTCTCAGATTTTAATTTTTCCTTTACAGAAGTCAAAGTATCTGATCTTTTAATTTTGTCTTTTCTCAAATTCGTGATAAAAGGTAACAATACTTATTTTTAACTCACTGTTGTAAGAGGGTATTTTAAAAAGTAATATATATGAAGTGGCATCAGACATAAACTTCATTCATATTATCTAATTTCTAGTCCGTATTTATATTTCCCAAATCTTTTCTAAACTGTTCTTCAATGAACTCAGGTCCAATCTAGGACCATTCTCATTGATCTAGGACAAATGGTTAAGACTTACTACTAAAGCAGCAGAAAATCAGAATGTTCATTTAAAGGATTAGTAAAGTAGCATTCACTCTAAAAATAGGTTTTATGGGTATTCTAGACTTTTTTCATCCCAGACTATCATCTTGACAACTACTACCTTTTTGTTCTAGTTTCCATGTCAGCTAGAGTAACTTATTTCCTTTAAGGCAGTCAGCTCTCTGCCTGAGATGAGTATTTTTCCAAATTATTTTTCCAGAAATAAGAATTATGTTTTCTGGGTTAACTGTCTGTATGGAAACACTAGGCCTTTAAAAAGTCATTTGGGGGCCCTCCCTGGCGGCGCAGCGGGTTAAAGCACAGCACTAAGAAGCTAAAAGTCACTTCCGCATGAGTTCGATTCCTACCTACCCCCCCCAGATCCACATGGCGTGGCAGACCTCTCCTGACCCGCCCACTGCTCCCCTCAGCAGTGTACTTCGTCGATCTGCCTGTTCTGCTCCCCACTCTGTCTCTGTTGAATCCTCTCACCCTCCGCATCTCTGGCCTGTACCCCAGTTCTGTACGAATAAATAAATAAATCTTAAAAAAAAAAAAGTCATTTGGTTGTCAACCCTTAGTACAAGCAAAACTACTACAATAAATACTCTCCAAACCCCTACTTTATTAAAGGCTCACTAGAAGATCAAATCACTTTACCAGGATTCCTTCTTATTAAAATACAAACCACTTTAAAATTTAATATTCATATTACCATTGCCATCAATTAGGCCATGTGAGTGGGGCATTTGATTAATTTAGTATATCAACAAAATTATAGTGTTTATCGATGTGATTTGTCATACATAGTCAGTAAAAATCATACTGATAAAGTATAGAGATGTTTTAGTTTTTAGTCTTTATCCTTACATACGAGTGGTTATTAAATTGTGTAAGTACTGTGCTGAATTGTAAATTGGTGTAAAGAGCATATTGAAATTTCAGTTAAAACAAGTAATTATAAAAAAGAACAATGATGGTTTGAAAGACATTGGTACAAAAATTTGGTTTTTCCTACCCTATCCATTAGCAAAGTAAGTAATTTTGAAATTACCTTTTCCCGTTTATTTGTTTGTTTTTAAGATTTCTTTTTATTTATTTATGCATACAAGAACTGGGGGATAGGCCAGAGGTATGAGGGGATTGCTGGTGAGAGATTTCACCAGAGACAGAGTGGAGAGCAGAACAGGCAGATCCACTGAAACACACTGTTTAGGAGAGCAGCAGGTGAGACAGGAGAGGCCTGTGTGGGGTCTCCTTTAGCTCCTTGGTCAGGGATAGAACCCATGCTACAGTGCTGACAATAGCTTAGTCGCACTGAAACCTTAACCTCCACGTTACCAGAGAGGGCTTACATTACTTGTTTAATTATCAAATTGTAATGCCAACAGGATGAAATTCTCAGTATTTTTGTTGTTTTGTTGTCTAAATCACAGTGAACTTATTTGTTACAAAATTTTCAAATTATGCCATCTTAGAAGTTACACGATACAATGTATTATTGTGAACATAATGACAGTTTCACGTTTGAGTCTGTAAAACAGATTAATGTGGTAAGTCAAGGTTCTCCAGTAGTTTGCAGATTCTTTCAAGTAAATACACATTCCAGCAGACTCTGAAATGACCCTTTATCCCGTTTTACAACTAATTTTTTGTGCCATTTTCTCTTCTTGTTAAAACAAATGTTTATTGGACTTGAAAAAGGCAAGCAAGTTAAAGGAAGGAAAAGCATAAAATAATTAAATGTTGTAGGGAAAGTATGAAGCAAAAGTATCTTTTAATAATTGCCTTGATTATCACTTGGAATTTTCTTATAGTACTGTAAGTATAATTTTAGGAAGTGATACTTATATAGAAAGAAAGATGATTTAAACTAAGTACCTAGTACTATTTACTTTTAATATTTTCATTTTGAAATATTTAGAAAAAAAATTACACTATTGATACTTGAGTCCTCTGGAAGATAGTATGTCCTACATATAATTTGCTGGATCTAAAAGTAATTTTATGAATACAATTATTTTCTTCAACTTTTTCTGGTTTTTGTTTTTCTGGTTTATAATGGAAAGGTATGGCTGGTATAGAATGAGTGATTGACTCAGTTGTAGTAGCTATGAGTAAATGTGGCTGGACTATGGCAGCTCTGTTAAAGGGATGTCCCACTTTAATTTTTTTTTCCAACTGTAATTGTGAAACATCATACTACCTAAAACTAGAAATTAGTGTTGTGATGTAGTTTTTTCCTCTCCACATTTAAGAGAAAATGGGTTGTTCCTATTTTTTTAATTGTGATACTTAAAATTATAACAACAAGTGCTCACTTCAGTAACACATAAACTGAAGTTAGAAAATTACAAAAATGCAATTTGAAGTCTTCTTAATGCATTCATGAAAAAAATAAGCCCAATGAATTTTAAAATTCCAGAACTATCTATTAAGCCTTTTAAACAACAAAAGGTTAGATAAGCTTTTAGTTTTTCTTGCCTCTATCTTAGATTTAAGCTACAAAACAGAAAAAAGCCAGTAATTAAAATATAAATCTCAGTATTCTCTTAGTTCTCATAAAAGTTGACTTTTCCACTCCAAAAATTACCCAGCTTCACTATCATTTTAAAATGTTTTGTGCTAGGAAGTAGGAAGTCATGCAGTTCAGAGGCAAACATTGTTAGCATTCTTATGTATTCTTTCCAGACCATTTTTTTTTCATAGTTTTTTTTTTTTTTCATAGTATTCATTGTACTTTAGGTACAATTTTTCATAGTACTTTTTTATTTTGACATTCTTTGTTGTAAACATTGTTAACATTTTTAGTGACTGCAACAGTTTGTGTTGAATTACCTTAATTTAAATAACTTTATTTTAAATTTTTTTTTTTTTAGATTTTTATTTTATTTGTACATGCAGAACTGGGGTACAGGCCAGAGGCTCAGGGGTGGTGAGAGGCTTCACCAGAGACAGAGTGGGGAGCAGAACAGGCAGATCTAAGAAGTACACTGCTGAGGGGAGCAGCGGACTGGTCAGGAGAGGTCTGCCACACCATGTGGTCACCTCCGGGGCAGGCGGGGATCGAACTCATGCGGAAGTGGCTTCAGATTCTCAGTGCTGTGCTTTAACCCGCTGCGCACCCAGGGAGGGCCTTATTTTAAATTTAAATTAAAAAATTTTAATTTATTTTAAAAAGTAATTTCTGAACAAATGCATACACTCTTTTAAAGGGTGCACAGATTATACTAGATTTAGCTTTTTTAGAAGTAACAATCTGAGGAAAACACCATTTTCCTACACTTAAAAGAAGTGCGCTATCTTGTATGGTTATGTATATATGAACCAACAGAAAACTGCATTTGAAAGTCATAAATATTTCCAGGTTTCCAGTTAAGTAAAACTTTTGAACTGCTTTACAAATTCACAAGGCAAAACTTCTAGGAATAAATACAAGGTTTTGTGGTAAAATGATTTCATTAAATCCCTAATATATGTTCTCAAAGTAAGTGATTCGCATCCTGTATTATTTAGCACATGCACAAATAAACTTAACCGTTTATAATACTGTTCTACTTTCTCTAAGTATGTATGTTTTTAGGATTTTTAAACAGTCTTCAGTGTATTTTGTTATTTATGCATTCTTTTATAATAAATATTTTAGGTCAACTGGCTATTCTGAGGTGATAGTTGTGGTCGGAGGCTGTGAACGAGTTGGAGGGTTTAACCTTCCATACACTGAGTGCTATGATCCTGTCACAGGAGAATGGAAGTCTTTGGCTAAGCTTCCAGAATTTACCAAATCAGAATATGCAGTCTGTGCCCTAAGGAATGACATTCTTGTTTCAGGTAAATAATTTTCACAGTAGCTACTTTAAATTGAACATGGCTTAGCTGTTTTAAAATGGTAACAGTGTCTTAAAGAAAACTAGAGATACCCTTTTTTAAAATTAGTTGGCAGTGGTTTATAGGTTCCAAGATTATATCTTCTCACCATGTTACCAAACATCCCTTCATGACTCCAGACAAACCAGTTCACCTTCCCCATTTCCTCCCTTCTCTTTCCCCTGTGGTAATCACCACTCTATTTTCAGAGTCTAAAATTTTGTTTTGTTTTCTTTATATTCTTCGAATAAGTGAAATCATACACAATTTTTGTCTTTCTACTCCTGACTTATTTCTGGGTGTGCCTATTTTATAGGCAGGTTAGTTTATACAACATATACAATGGAGATGTTTTTGCTCTTAAAATAGGCACAAGATGATGCAGAAATTTTACCAAAAATCTACTAGAAAATACCTTTAAGCATATCATATTTCAAATGCTCTCAAGTGCATATAAAATATGGTATAAATTTTAGAAACTATTTACTCAGTATTTTAAGAAACAGTTAAGTGTGCAACATCAAAAGTACTCAAGAATTAAGCAACTCTAATCTGCCCGTATTTTCTGAAAATGTCCCCAAGGTTTATTATATAGGTTTTCCTTTAAAATTCTTTAATTTCTTTTATAATATGTAATATCAAAAATCAAATAATAAAATGACAAACTTACCAAATATAACCTGTCTATATATATGCTCTAAAGTCTGTCAGTTGTTTAATTTCACCAATCTTGCAAAATTAATATATTATCACATATTAAATAATATACAACAATACATACTTTATATTGTACAATGGTATGCTTCCAAAAAGATGAAACTTTTTAAACTCTTTTTAGAAGAATTATGTTGTTTAGGTGCTTCTGATATCTCACTTTTAAGTTAACAGTCCACACATTTATAAAATTCTTATCCTGCATCTTACTATTTTAAGGTATATAATCATTTCTCAAAATAGCAGTTGTCCAGTTTTAAGTATGATTTGTAGAACTATTTCTAATAAGTATTCCGAGGGTTCTTTTTTATTTATTGAACTCAATTCTCAAGTTCTTGTACTGGGTAAATAAATGCCATGTTTTCATTACCTTATACCATGGTGGCATATATCCCTTCATGATATACATATGTATATATAATTGTATGTACTTTATTTTGCATTTAAAGGTGGAAGAATCAATGGCCGTGATGTCTGGATTTATAACTCACAGTTAAATATTTGGATAAGAGTTGCATCTCTAAATAAAGGCAGGTGGCGTCACAAAATGGCTGTCCTTCTTGGTAAAGTAAGAGAAACTACTTTTTATTACTATCGTTGGAACATTTCCAAAATAACATAGCTAAATCCTTCATTTTACTCTCTGGGTATATTGGATTCAAATTGTGTATTCCTTCTACTTGTAACCCAATAGATAAACTAAAAATATAAAAAATTTGACACTGTACTTTTGAATGGATATTTTGTTCTCCCAACTTGGAATTTGTAGCAGTGTAGCACATTTCTCTTCTCATGCTCCAGTAGATTTTATATGCCTAAGAAGCATTGGGAAATAAGGTGGTTACATTAGGTACAAAAGCAGACCAATGTCTAATCCAAGCAATCTTTTACTTTTTACTGACTTTGGTGGCTAGTCAGAGATATATTTATCTAAATGATGCTGTTTTATCTGTACAACTAAAGACAAAATTTTTAAGAAATATTAAGATAAACTCATCGGTATATTTTAAAGAAAACCTACTACTGACTGCAGCTAAAAAACATTCGAGAGTAAATTCTGGATTTGAACCAGAATTCAAACTTATACTATTATTTAAATTTATAATCTGTTAAGAATATCTGGGGTAGTTTAGAATATAGAACTTTGGAACAAAGAGGCATCTTGGAGAATATTTAATGTAGATTTTTCAGTTTATTAAGAAATTAAATGATATCCAAAGTCATCAAGTCACTTGCCCAAGCTTACAAAGAAAAATTGACAAGGTACTTATGGATATAATATAATCTGTGCTTTAGAGAACACAAGAGGGGAGACCAGGAGATTAATTGAAAAGTATGAAGTGACATGGACCCTGAGGTAGGATACTGGCAGTTGGAAACAAAAGATAGGGACAGGTATGAGAGACACTGTTAAAGGAGACTCATGGGAATTAATAATTAAGATGTGGAGGGAAGAATTAATCCATTAAAGGAATTGTGAAATGTTATATTGGAGAATTTCTTTAAGTTCAAGATTTCTTGTATAGCTCGTGATGTTTAATGGATTACTATGCACATAAATCATGTAATATGTAGCTTTTTAATTCACCTGTCATGTAAAGATGTTAATTTGCCTCATGTTTGTGAAAACGAAATGTACATGAAAGCCCTTTCAAATATATGGTTTATTATGCGTCAGGTACTTTGCTAGGTATTGTAGGGGATAAAATTAGTAAGAAGGTAAGCCCTCACTTCAAAGACTTTACAGTTTACTAGTCTTTACCTAATATTTAAGTTTCCTATCTTTATTACTTTGTAATAATCAAATATTTTCATTATCCGTAAATGTGAACATTTAATTTAAATAATGTACAGATCTTCCTTGTCTTAAGAGATGCCATCCCAATAAATCCTTTATAAGTTAAAAATATCATGAATTCAAATTCCATTTAATATTCCTAATCTAGCAAGCAGCAACATCGTAGTGTAAGCCTATCTTAAATATGCTCAGAATATTTCTGTTATCCTACAGTTGAGCAATGAAAGTGAAAAAATGAGGTGGTAGTTTGCCCTCACGACTAACTGGGAGTTTTGGCTTCCTCCTGCGGCCCAGAGTCAGAGTACTATACTGAATATGGCCGATTGGGAAAAGATCAGAATTCAAATTATATCAAAGTGATGCATATCACTTTGGCACCATTGTAAAATAAAAAGTCAGTAGTCAGATCATCACAAGTCAGGAACCATCTATAATTCTCAATTTGAGAAGTATCATATTGAAGAGATGGAAGTTGGTTCTTCGGGGCTGGGAAAAAAATTGTACTGTTTCATATAAAAACAATTATATGCATATAGGACTTAAACAGATACACAATATCTCTTGTATACACACATTACATTTTCAATGGCGGGGGCTATTATGAAAAAAAATTGTCTAAGATGGCTCCTTTGTGGTGGTAAGGGATGATTAAAAAATATTTTCAGAAACTGAGCTAAATCTATTGCAGTTGTAATTATCAAGGGCTTTTCAAAGAAGCAATCCCTTGTTTAAGTAACGTCCAAAAATCCAGACTTGATAATTAAGATTTGTTTCCATGTATTTTACGTGTAGGTATATGTTGTCGGAGGCTATGATGGGCAAAACAGACTTAGCAGTGTAGAATGTTATGACTCCTTTTCAAACCGATGGACTGAAGTTGCTCCCCTTAAGGAGGCAGTGAGTTCTCCTGCTGTGACTAGCTGTGTAGGCAAATTGTTTGTGATCGGTGGAGGACCTGATGATAATACTTGTTCTGATAAGGTAAGCCAAGTTCTGTTTTAGAAATGGCCACTGATTTATCTACAGGTACAGAAACAGAAAGCTTATCAATTAAGGAGTAGTTTCTAATATTAGGTTCATTAGACCATTTAAAAAATGATCTAGCACTTTGTGTGTTAAGGAGAAAACAGTGAATTTCAAGTTATTTAAGTTCCTAATATATCTGACAATTTGCTATTTAAAACTTGATTCAGTCTTTTTTGAAACCATTAATGAGACTAGTCTCAAAGTGTTGATAACTTGTACTAAATTGTTTTAATCCTTTCATGCCCTGGTCTGCAGAATCAAAGTTATTTACACAAAACATGGATGGAAAGTAAATTTGCAAAGGACAAGACTACTTTCACTTAGGTCATTTTCTGCATACTTTAAAAGTATTTTTTAGAACAAAGAAGGGGAAAGAAAATCTCTGTAATGTAAATGGAGGGCTGCTCCTACTTGATGTAGTTCACTGAGCTCCTGGGACAAAAGGACATGTGCCATCCTGACCTCTCAGGACATGCCTGCCATGTTTATTCTAGAAATAAGTATCTAATACTTAATTAGTTAAGCTGAATTTTACCCAAATAGTCAACTGAATTTTGTCAATTATTTTTCTAAACGAAATTTTAACATGTTGTCAAATGTTAGATATTTAGAATTCATTTATTCAAAATGTGTGATAATTCAGCATATACTAAATTTAGATTTATGTGTTCCTTTGAAAAAAGAAATTCCTAAAAATTTAAAAAGAAATTATATTGAGATTGAGGCATAGTTCTATGTGGCACAACTTTAATTGTTAATTTTAATGGAAATAAGTAGCAAACCGGGTCACCCTTTTCCCTGGAAGCAATCTGTATTTGGTACTCTGTTATTTCTGTTTTATAGAAATAAATTTGTCTTTCTTTTGAGGATTTAGTGATCCATACACTTCACTATCAAACTAATCTCCCTTAATTCTGTGAATTAATGGGATTGGGTTTTTAATGATGATACTATATATCAGCAGAGTTTATTAAGTAAATTTTCATTTTCATTAGAAATTTTAATAAAATATTTTTACGTATTATCAGGTTCAATCTTACGATCCAGAAACCAATTCTTGGCTACTTCGTGCAGCTATACCAATTGCCAAGAGATGTATTACAGCTGTATCCTTAAACAACCTGATCTATGTTGCCGGTGGACTGACCAAGGCAATATACTGTTATGATCCAGTGGAAGATTACTGGATGCATGTACAGAATACATTCAGTCGACAGGTAATAAATTAATCTAGAAGGGGCTAAGAATATGACTATTATGAATATGCTATAATTTCACTATTAAAATTTTTCATATGTGATAGAATTCTTTCATAATTTTTTAAAACTCTACAGAAAGTATATGGTTTACCTATTTTGAACTCCTACCAAAGAAATGTTTTCTTGAAATAACTTACTTTTACCATCCCTTCATGAAGTAGCTGTTACATGTGGACTGTTGATTTTTTTTCATTGACCTTTTTCAGAATCTTGTAGCCCTTTCCCCTCTTTTCTTGCATATTTGAAGAGAGAATAAATCTTACATTGGTTTTTGTCATAACAGAAATGACTGTATTCAGATATCCTTCACTCACTCTCTCCTCCCCTCCTAAATTTCCTGCCACCACAAAAGGCCTTCGCATAGCCTTTTGATTCATAACAGGACTTCCTTTCTTCCACCACTGAATGTTTGGAGGTTCTCATCCTTAAAATTTGACTCTACCCATACCACTCCAGGGATGCTGTAGTCCCCTTTAGGCATCATTACTAGTTACCTCCTCAGTGTCATTCTTAGTCTGTTTATTTTCTCCACTCAGTCTTGAGTGTCTTTCCCCTGCTCTCTTCCCTACTTTAAAGCTTGCTGAATGATCTCTTCTACTACTAAGTACTTATGACTTCAAGTCTTCATATCCATGGAATACTCTCTCCTGTGCTCCAGAATCAAATTTCCATCTATGTGTGAATGGAATTTGATATTTTCCAAGATTTCAAACTTAGAATTCACCTTCTAAAGGACCTAATCAATGAAAGAACTGTTTCATTGTGTAAGGGGAAAAAAACTACCAACATTTCAACATTTCTTACACCACATGTGTGGGTACCTTAGAATTCAATTTGATTCTGGTACTATCTATCAAATAGTTATTCAATTTAAAAATTATTCAAGTTAAGAATTCAGTCCCACAAGACTGCTGCTGCTTCAGACACTAGTTGCATGTCCCAGGTTATGTCCCCAGTACTTCTAACAGACAGGCTGTAAATCAGTATCCCCACAACCCTTCCTTGAGTTAGGTAATTTGCTAGGGCAGCTCACAAAACTCAGGGAAACTGCATGTTTCCATTTATGCTACAGAAAGGAAATAGAGGAACAGCCAGAGGGAGAGGTACATAGGATGAGGTCCAGAAGCTCACCAGCACAGGAGCTTCACCACAGGGGGTTCCACATCCCATACTTCTGTGAATTTCATGGACACTTGCATTTAACTTACAGATCACACGTATTCTTGCCTTGACCAGTGCTGTGCTTGTAGCCTTTAATGCCTTTTCTCTGTTCAGTTTGCTTCACTTTCAAGGACTAATTCATACTTATAACAAACTGAGGTTGTCCTGTTGAGAATTGATTTCTTTTTTCCTGTTCTTTCACTACACTTGCATATCTATTTATACCTTGATATCTATTCATATATCTACATATCTTTATTTCTAGGTATAAATGTTGGTTTCTGTACTAGAATGCAATCTTCTTGAGGAAAGAATTTTTCCCTAATTCATCTCATGTATTTTACATTTTTTGGTTTTATGTACATTTTTATTCAGTAAGTAAACAAATGATAAACTGAAATAACAGAGGGCCCTTATTTTAAGATATTCTTACGCAAGTTATAAAATGTAAAGCTAAGGAATAGAGTTGAATATAATGCTGTTTTTCTAAAATTGTTGACATTGAGGTATAGTCTCCAACTAATATTAGAATAGTATTGCTTCAGCTGATGAAAGAGGGATGATAGGACAGCTTCATGGGACAGAGGATATACTGCTCATTCCACATTTAAGTAAAATAAAACATATCTCTCTAGCTCAGTGGCCTCTTCTGGAAAGGACAGATTCCAGCCCTTAGTGGTGAGTGTGCCTTACCACATAAAACACACATTATAGTCCAGTGTAGCAAGCATTTACACTTATTTCTAAATGTTTTCATCTAAGCTAGGCTTTATTATAGTGACTATTTAAATAATTTAAAATTTTAATTTTAATGAATTAATCTTCATTAGAACTTGTCTCATCTTCATTAGAACTTGATAACAGCTTAGGAAAGTAATTGCCAAAACTAGTATAATGAAGATCATACAATGAATATATTTTTGACTAAATGATTGAGGTAAAGTAAGAAAAAAACAATAAGTTGCACATGACACATTTAACGTACTCAAACAATGAATAACTGACTTTTAAAATTTCAAGGAAAAACATTTAGATCATCCCAAATCTATTATAACAAAGACAGATAATTCATGTCCAAATCTAGTACTCTATATTAAATGCTTTAAAGCAAAAAAATCCTGAAATTTTCAGAATTATCTTTCTCCCCTGCTTTGTCCTTATATAGTATCTCTGAGTATATCTTCTATACATTATTAATAGAATTTAACTTCTGTGCTTGTCCTTTTAATCCTGATTAATGATAAATGAAACAGTCATTTGAATCCAAAGCTGGCTTTTAAATGCTTAGTATATTGAAAATTCTGTGATTTTCAAAAAGTCAGTGATGGAGTAATTTTATTAACTCTTCACCAGGCAAGATATTTTTAAAATGTCATTAAAGTTAAGAATAATAGGCCCTCCCTGGTGGCGCAGCGGGTTAAAGCACAGCACTAAGAAGTCAAAGCCACTTCCGCATGAGTTCGATCCCTGCCTGCCCCGGAGGTGACCACATGGCGTGGCAGACCTCTCCTGACCCGCCCGCTGCTCCCCTCAGCAGTGTACTTCGTCGATCTGCCTGTTCTGCTCTCCACTCTGTCTCTGGTGAATCCTCTCACCCTCCCCATCTCTGGCCTGTACCCCAGTTCTGTATGAATAAATAAATAAATCTAAAAAAAAAAGTTAAGAATAATAAATGAAAAGAAATGTTCTTTTTTGTTTATTGATAGCATTTTAATATGTAAACCTAAAGCATTATAAATTAAGAGTTAGGGATTTGGTATTTTTTATGATATTTCAGTGCTTCCTCTTAATCTTGAAAAATAACATTAAAACAGTGCCACCATTCTCGAGAGTACACTTCATCTAGCACAAGTCACTTCTTGATAAATAAATAACGATTTTGCTTGCTTCATTTAATTCTGAGCATTATTATTATCATCAATGTGACTGACTATGAAGTTTAGCAATGTGAGCTAGCTGGTACTTAAAAGCTAAGGGTACGTTTTTTTGTACTTCAGAACTTTTAGAATGTATTTTAATTAAAAATATTTTTAATTAAAAAATTTTACTAAAAAATTTCATTGTGCTTTAGATGAAAAATTTTATCGTTTGGCCTTGAACTGCTACTAATCATGAGTGGTAGTATGGAGAAGTTTGTCATTCACTAATGAGAATGAGCCAAGTCACTCTGGATATATCCAGACTCTAAATAGAGGTATCTTAAGTGCTCACTAATTCTTGTAGACCTCTGAAGATACATCAGTTCATCAAGATTTAACTTCTTCTGCAAAAGAAAAAAATATATATAGCAAATCAAGTGAAAATGCTTATTGTACTTAAGTAATAAAACACATCTCATTAATGGCTATAAGGATCCAGGATTATAATATGCAGTAAGTTTCTGAATCAGAGTAAACTGTAAATAAAAAATAATTTGACCTGCAGAATAACCAGATGCATATAATAGTGAGACAATTTTAGTGTAAATTTTTTTTCATTAGTCACCCTTATCCTTGCAAGAATATTTGTCTTGTATAGGACTACAATTTATATTATTGAGAGAGAAGAGTTTAGCTAAGAATCCCATTAGGTGGAAAGGTAACTGTAAAATGTTATTTAGGATATTTCTATGACCCAGCCAGTGCTTTGTTAATTTGATTGTAATTCTTCCGTTCATTCCATATGGGTATTTCCATATAATGAATATGGGTAATTCCACATAATGAATAATGTCTCTGCTTTGTGGTCATGTAATAGCCACTCTCTATAATAAAAGATCTTCCTTAGTAGGAATAGCAAGTCAAACTCTTCAAAAATGTTTTTGTTCAGCCGTCATTGACTGCACCCTTCTCTCAGTCCACCAAAGGGAAGCTTATTTCATTTCTCGCTTTTTTTTTTTTTTTTTTTAACTATATTATAGCATGTCTCATTTTACTTTACACTTTGTCACCAAATGCCTTACCTTCAACAGTTAATTTTTTTTTTTAATTTATTTGGTTAAACAGGAGAACTGTGGTATGTCTGTGTGCAATGGTAAAATATATATCCTGGGTGGACGACGGGAAAATGGAGATGCAACAGACACTATTCTCTGTTACGATCCCGCAACAAGTATCATCACGGGGGTAGCTGCAATGCCCAGGCCAGTGTCCTATCATGGCTGTGTGACTATTCATAGATACAATGAGAAATTCTTTAAGCTCTAAAACCAGGATACCTCACCCAAGAAGCCACACCAATCCAAGATGGAAAGGTTTTTGAAACTCCAGAGTGGGAACTTGACATATCTCCTTTGTGCTATATGCACACACAAAAAATATAATAATTGTGGTGCCTTTCTCCCCAAAATAGCAATCTTTCAAATCATAATAAAGCCTTATTGTATTTGAAAAATATTTTGCTCACTGAAGGTAATGGTGGTTGTTACTTGGGCTCTGAGAGTTTACCTTTGTAAGTATTTGTGAAAAACCTGTATGGAATAGGACGTAATGGCTGCCTGCATACCTTTTAGGAATATGTGGATGGTTTCTTATATATGTATGTGTATGTCTATAAAACTGTATAGTCCTTATTTTCTCATAAGTAGATAGAAACTTTCATGACTTAAAGTTTCATTTAGGTTGAATCTTAGCGTAGGATGCATCCTAAAATGAAAAATTAGTTTAAAAGATAATTATTGTTAAAAATATGTACAAATTGATTAATTTTATTGAAGGTTGTTTCTATAATTGATAAAATTTACATGGCAACAACTTGAATATCATAAAATACTGAATTTTTATGACTTATTTGTGTTGCTGTTTTTCATTAAACATTTTTTGAAGGAGATTGGATAGGAGATATAAAAAGCAAGTGCCCTTGAAATGAGGATTAAATTTTTAGGTTAGTTCCTAAGAAAAAACTATCTAAGACCTTTGAAGGAAAAATGACCCGTTGTGGCTCTCAAGGTATTTATGTATCATCTCTAAATTGTATAGGGAAGCTCCTTGTCTTAAACATACCTAAATCCATTTTGCAATATTATCTTATGAAAAGCAGGGACAGATTTTCTCCCTAGCCCAACAGGGTTTGATCTCATTAATATAGTGCTTTGGGTGAGGATCTTTTTCCTGGTTATCCTGTTTTCTTGTGAGCTGAAAATTCTGGGAGTCTAGTCTAAAGAGAGGATAAAAGCAGGGACCACATATCTCTGGGTCCATTTTTCTTTTAAAATGAAATGGCTATCTAAAAAGAAAAAACTCAACAGCAGTCGTTACGATCTTCTAAGATAAATCTCTCATTTGGTATCCATTGTGTAAGTTACTGATCATTATTCCCAAGTTTCTGTACAGCGAATTACCTTTTTCTAGATTTTTCAGTTCCAGTTTATAAAGTTTATTAGTTTTCAGAGAATAATGTAAAAATTCTTTTTAAGGCACATGAGATGACAGAAACTACAGCATACGTGATTATTGTTCTTCCTGGGTGGGCAAATATAATTCACAACATTTTAAGGATGTTCTAGGTAGCCTACATTTCCATTTCCCAGGCAATGTTGTTGTCTCACATTATAATTGTATATTCCTTGTCATAATAGAGATGATGCAGATATTTGATGATAGTATAACCAGGTTTCTATTAAAACCAAGGTAATTGAACAGAAGACCTAACAGTGAATTTCTTTTTGTTCTCACCATAGAGTGATACAGAGATTTTTAAGTAAAACATATGGAATCAATTTTAATGTTTATGTGGAATATAAATGCTGAGAACTTTGAAAATCTTACAAATTTTTAGGAAATTTTTATTTTTGAAATTAAAATTTAAAAGGGTATAGATACTTTTTGTGACAGTTATCAGAACAGTTCAAGAAACAATCTTTTCTCATTTTAGTTGAACAACAACTATAGGTATATTGGGATACTTGTACTTTAATTTTAAAGTAAACGTCTACTTCTGCATTATACTTTTTGTAGATAATGGAACATATTTAGTTCAGAAATTCTTTGCAGTAAATGAGATAATGTATAAGAATATTGTTTTGTAATGCTGAGGATTATGCAAGTAATACTTATTTTCATGTATATTTGTAAGAGGGTGGTCATCCATAAATACAGAGACATCACACAAAAAACTTTGTCAAGATAACTTGTATTCTTGTATTTTGCCTGTTGTAAACTATTAACTATCTGCTTGTATTTTAGTATACATTTATCTGTGTTTTTATTGTAGTAAATTTGAGTTGAAATTCTATAAAAGAGTTGTTTAAACATAGACCTTGTACCAATATTGCTTCATTTTTTTCTCTACCTAATTAAAACTGTAATTAGGTAGGCCACCATGAACTTTCCTTTAATCCTAGGAAACTAAATTAACTGTTTTTAAAGTTACCTAACTGGTATTATGATTTCCTTTCATTGTCTTCATTTAATGATTTTTGATAAGTAAATTCTAGTATTGATAAAATAATTTTAGCATATAACTAGTTTATCAAAAGAGCTATATCAATGAAATTGGTGTTAGAGTATATCCATACTATCACCATACAGTTGACAGATTTTCTTTTGATAGGTCATGTTCATTTAAGTCTTTGTGTTTGTATACGCATAGATATGTGTAAATATATTGTATGGTCATGTACACATACATACAGACAATAAGAATTTTATCAGTTTGTGATGATCAGAGAAAAGCACATAAAGTAAATATTCATAGACCTTATTAAATTCAGTTCCAGAAGATGTTTTTATTTGAGTATTTCTAGAATTTTTTTTAATGTTTGAAAGTACATGATGAATTAGGATGATGACTTGTATACAGACTCTATATAGTACATACACTCTTACAAAATCAGAAAACAAATTGGAAGAAGACATGAGTTTGCTAAACCCAGCTGTGATACCTCAGTGGAAAGAAAATTCAAGGGCGTATTTTGTGGGTCAACAGAAAAGTACCTTTTTTCCTGTAAACTTAAATCCTTCAAGTTTTTCTATAAGTAAGTGATCCATAAAGTATCTGATTTTTACAACAAAGACCTTCCTTTTCTACTCTAATACTCGACTGACTTTACTGCACAGCTATAAAAATGGTAGCCTATGGATCTTCAGTAACATTTTTTCCTAAATGACTTCACTTTGTTTAAACCAGGTGTTAAAAAAATGACGTAAATACTCAGGGAGGGTATTAACATTTTGCCTATTGGGGGTGTTTAAAATGCCATAACTAAAACTTCAGTATGATTCTACGGTAAATTTAATTTGATAAAGGGCTTCACACATGACGGTGGTTGAACATTCATTCTTCTATATTTAGAAAGATGAAAATGTTTTGTGGACTGAAACATTTTTCTCTTAGTGAATATGAACTATTTATGTATCTCTACTGTCAAATACCCTTTTGAAACTCAGGAAAGACAAAGGTTCAAATATACAACTTTTGTCAATATACAAACCAGGTTTTTTTTTTTTCCTGTTGTCTGGATATGACAATAGATTTTTTTTTTTTTTTTTTTAAAGAACTGCTGTGAGAACCCATCACAAAAAGAAAAGGGTTAAACTGTTTGTGTGTGCCTTTTGTGTCTTGAGACTTATGTATGGAAAAAACATCTTTCTGATCTAGACTGATTTTCAAAGAGGAGAGATTGCTAAGTGGTGTGAAGTGATAAGATAATGTCTCTTAAAGGCTTCCTGTGGATTGCCTTGTTTTACTAAACTCAAGACACCAGTAAACCTCAATGTAATTTTGGCCTTACTAGGATTTGTTGTGCATTATATTGAAAGCCAGGTTTACATCACCTCAGCCCACTGTTCTTTAGTTAAATAATTTCACCATCCTGAGTAACCAGAATGGGGCAATTTGGTTGACCTTTAAAGCAGTAGGTTTGACTAGCGAACTATACATATTGTTACATCCAGCTCTAGGCACCAGAAACCACTTGAGCCAGGAGTGTGAGCTGATAATTCCAGAGACACTTGCAACATACTTCAAACATTTTTAAATGTTTTATATGAATGTTTTACATTTGTGTGATTGCCTTAGATGTTAAATTTACTTAGTACTAAAAAATGATCATCATAATTTTTTAAAACAGGAATTGTCATAATTTATTTTATATATTATTCCAAAGAATTTGTTTCAGTGTTTTCAGAAAAACATCATCTGAATTTATGTGCCTTAAGTTCTCTAGTGCTGTCTCAACTTTTTTTTTTTCAGTCTAAATTCTCTATGTAGAGTAAATAAAATTCTCTTCTTAAATTTTTTAATAAGCACCAACCACGTGATTGCTTGGCAGAATGAGAATGCTGAGAGGTTGGCTGTTTGGAGTTTTATTACAATGTTTGGTTTGCTTTTGATACCAAGGTGCTTTTTAAGATATTGAGAAAAATACCTATTTTACATTGGTTAAACCCTTGTAACCATCACTTGCCATTTCTACATCTAATATAGAAAAAGTAAATCCACTTACTTTGTTTCATTCGGATGTACTTTTTTTTCTCTACAGACTTTTCAAAATTTAACTTTCTTGAAAAAGTTCTTACCCTTCCCCAATACCCTTCCCTACAGCATCTTTATTTAAACTTTTGTTGAGAGTTTCTGGAGCTAAGATAACACAATTACTGAGTTGAAAAACTTATACAGACCCTTGACAGCCAAATGTCATTTGCTTTCAATTAGAGTCTCCAGAGTCTTCACAGTTAAAAAGAAAATGCTTTGTATTTGTTCCCCACTCAATTTGTAACGCATTAATACTTAAATGTTTTGTTTAAATATACTCTGTGCATAGTCTAATTTTTTAAAAGTTGTATCTAATAAAATGTTGTTTAACCATTATTACTTGACTATATGGTTGTATTAAATTTTGTTTACCAAAAATTTGATGTTCTGTTTTATTTTAAATACATTCACTTGGTTGTATGTGAAAAAGGAATGGGATTGTATATTAACATAGATATGTTCATAGGTATGTCCATAAAGTAACTGAGAGATTAAACAAGAAACCAAAGACATTGGTGTGTATGAGGAGAGGAATTGGTGGCTTAGAGAGAAGTGAAAAGCAAACTTCACTACACACTAATTTATAATTATATATGTGTGTGTGTGTTTATTTGTAGTTATATATAAATATATATAATCAATTATATAGTGTAAACTAAACATGAAAGTGTTACCTAGTCAAAAAAAAATTCAATAACCAGGATATGACCCATAACATTTGAACTCTAGTTTTCTTTTGATTTATAGGGTTCTCAAAAGTAACCCTATAATAAAATAATGCTGAGGTTAAATCAGCTAAAATTTATTTCCGGTGTCAAGGAGAAGAAAATTGTCTAATAAAAGTAAAAATTTTGAAAACATGCAAGCATTATAGAGGCACAGGCAATGCTTAGCTTTTTATGCTTAGCTTTTAAATTATACTATCAAAATTAAATGTGAAGTTAGAGTCCTTTAATAATAAATGGTGCCTTTGTTTGCATTTGACTTAATTCCTCTACAGCCACACCTGGAAAGTGCATGCACTTCATCAGACCTGACTCCAACTCAGCTCAGCTGTAAAGCCATTTAACACTGACTCATGCTTTTCTTCTTTTAAGAAATGCACTCATAATACCTTACAGGCTTGTTGTTAAGATGAGGTCATGCAATGTATGTTGAAGGTGAGCAACATTCTGGCACAGAAAAAAAAAAACTGTAAATGTTGATTCTTTCTCATGCAGCTGGCTCAAGGCAAAATTACAATGGGTACAAGAAGGACAAGAAAGAATTAAAAGTATGAGTTATATTTGGAATACAGGGCAATGGGGGAAGCTTAAGACCCATTTATATTTTAAATTTTCTCCCAAAAGATCACCTGCACTTTTAATGGAATGTGGGGAGAAATGGTTTCTGCCTTGTGCTTCTCTGCTCTTCACTAGCTGTTAAAGGAGACGGGAAATGAAAAGGGATGTTTCCCTCTGTTTTTTTTGTTTGTTTGATTTTTTCTTTACATCTTTGAGGAAACTTGGTGGCTGAAGAGAGACTATCCCTTGCAGGATTATTTAATTCTTAGACCATTAAACAACTTGCCAATAAAACCACCTTTTGATGTAAACCCTTGCCCTTATCCCCACCACCACCACCACCATACCACCACTTGAAGTCTCAAATACCATGCCGGTATTTCCAGGTACCAGATGACGAGGAGCAACCCCTGTATCCCACGGAAGTTTTCCCACTGGCCGGTCCTATGCTTTTACTTTGCCCTGAGTTTCCCTTGAAGCCCCAGTAGAGGTCATTGCCTATGTTCTCCAGTTATTCCTACCTGCCGCCTCACTAACGCTGGTTCTTCCTGCAGCCGGCGTGGGCATGCTGTGTCTCATGTTTCTAAGAGGGCGATAAGCAGCACTCTTTCAGTGGTATTGACCTCTTGATATCCTCAATAACCTTTATAAATTCAGACAGATCACTTGACATTCTTGTAACACTTTTAGCATCGAGGTGTTCAATGTTTCCAGTGATGAAAGCGCCAATTCGGGTTCCTATGACTGTAAAAGAACCTGTTCAAAATAGACCTTAAAACAGGACTTTCCCTACTGTGATAAACAATAATCCATATATATGTACTAAGACCAAAATGCTAAAGAGAATCAGTCCAAAGAGTCAAGGTCTTGGGTACTATATTTTTCAGTTGATGTTAAAGGGAGGAGACATCTTGTCCAACTGGAAGGGGGAAAGAGTGTTTTGAAAGGACACTTGTTTAAGCGGTCTATTATATGGAAACTTGACTGATAGCACTGTAAAGCACTGTAGGAATTCACTGTCAGTAGATGGGCAAACTGGT